AAATGTTACAACATCATACAAACAGTTGTTATCATGAAATTTAAAGAAACAGGAGAATTAATTGGGGGTTATAACCCGGTTTGCTGGAATGCAAAAGAAAAATTTCCAAATAAAGGATATTTAATTGAAACAGTCAAGTTTTATTTTAAAATCGATGGAAATCAATTTTACTACAAATAATACGGAGATATAATAAATTTTTATGAATTAGACATACACAACAGCAGCATTAATAATAAACATTATTGTTATTACGGGTATCTTAAATATCACAAAAAAAAACTTGAATCTTATTAAAAGGTTTATTCGTTGGAAGAATTTGAGGTATATAAGTTAGTAAAGAATTAGAATAATTTGCATATAGATATTTAATATTTCTAAAGCACTTGAAAATTATTTTTTATTTATTTTTTTTTTAAAAAAAATGGTGTTTCACGTGTGTTTCGCTGTTCATGTTTATAATTTGTCAAAAAAAATATACAAAATGTCCAATAATAGTATTCTTGGCAATCATATCAACATATTTTTAACAAAAGCTTGACAAAATTATTGAATGAATCTGGTTATTATGATGTAGAAATTAAAGTTGAAGACGATGATAATGTTAAGACTTTTATAGCTTATTCTAGCATCTTAAAAGCAATATATTTGTATTTTGTCAAATAATTGGGTGAAAATGGAGTTATTTTGTTTGAAAAAGAAAATATTTCTACAACAATATTTGAGCTCTTTTAACGTAAGAATTATTTAATTTAACACAAATTATCAATTAATTGATTATAATAAATTTTTTCTTTAAATAATTGGATTGTTAATTGACCAAAATAAAATTCATGGATTTCTTGAAGCTTGTGACAAATCAATAGACAAAATTGTTTGATCAATGAAAAAAAAAGGGTCCAGCAAAACTTAATTCACATTCCATCAAAACATCATCAATCATTCAGCATAGTCCAATGATATGGTAGCCACTGAAAATTCAACGTTTATAATTATATTGGAAAATGTTGAGATGGAATTGAAATTCGGGGCCGTGTTGTTCAATGAGGGAATGAATTGAGAAATATATTATTATAAGGTTGACCAAGTTTCATCAAATAATTTACAAATAACATATTTTTATTTCTGACCGGATTGTTTGAAAATAACTTTTCATATAGATAGATTTTAAATTAATTTTATCTGGAACTCGGGATGGACAGTTCTTGAGGAGAAAATTTTATAATATTAGGCAAACTGTTGCTATCATGAATATAGAACTTTTAGTTTCAATATAATAACCATCATTCGAAAAATTTTCTTTTATATTCCAACAAACAGGATTATAGCCACCAACTAATTCTCCTGTTTCTTTAATTTTCAACATCATAGTAAGCAAACTATTATGCCTATTATAGTTTCTAATGATTTAGACATGTGCAACAGTATTAGCAATGAACCTTATTGTTAAAAATAACAATGAGCTATATAGCTCATTCGTTAAAAAAATTTGAAGTTCATAAATTAGCAAAATAATTAGGATATCAATTTTTTATTTATTTTTTAACATGTTATGGCTGAATCAATAAAATAATTTTCTAAATTTCACAAATTATGGTTGAGAGAGCGACCAGCGGTTTAATATGGGAAAATTATTAGTTAATTTACTTATTAACCAAAGAAAAGGTTAAAAAATTTGTTTATACGTTAAGATTAGTGATGTAAATTTGACTTTTTTCGCGTACGGTGCGCATAATTCATATACAGTGTGTTAAGAAAAAAACGGCGGTGACAAAAAACTGCATACTTTAACAATTATGAAAAATAAATAAATAAATTTAGGTTTATTCAAAAGCTTATAAGCTTCTTTATTAAATATAAAAATTTCAATATGAAATTCTATCACCATTTTTCTCCAAAATCGATTCACATCTATGTTTCATGGATAATACCAAATTATTCACAATATCCTGAGGGATCGCCTCCCATTCTTCAGTCATAAATTGAATTAATTGATCAATATTTTTTGGCATTCGTTTTTCGACATTATTCTTCATGATCTGCCACATGTTTTCAATAGGGTTGAGGTCCGGACTATTAGATGGCCAATCAATTGCATGGATAGAGTTTTCGGTAATGAATTCTTTAGCGACACGTGACGTGTGCTTAGGGTCATTGTCTTGTTGCAGACGCCAATTCATTCCATACATGTTTTGTGCAGTAGGCAGAAGCTGAGTCTGTAATATGTTTACATAAAATGGCCCATCCATAATATTTGTAAAGCAAAACAAGGGTGTTTTTCCGCTTTGAGAAATGCCACCCCATGCCATTACCTTTTGACGAGTTTTTGGTAATCTTCGTATGGGTCTTTCGCCATTTTTATGCCATCGACGAACCTTATTCCGAAAAAGATCAAATGCCGTCTCATCAGTGAATATTGTTCGATCCCAGTTATCATTCATATGCACTTGCGCCCAAGTTTTTCTCATCTCAATGTGCCGTTCTGTGAGCATCGGCGTTCCTAGAGGTACAGAGCTTTTATATCCTTTTTTTTTCATATGTTCCCAAATTGCAACGTGTGAAATAGAGATATTTTGACTATTTTCTATTTTAATAGCAAGTTGGCGGGCAGAAATAGCAGTATTACGGTGCACATATTGTCCGATAGCACGCGACACACTTTGTGTAACCTTTGGTTTGCGTCCATTTCCTCGCTTATGCTCAACAGTACCCGTTTCTCTGAGCTTTTTGAGATTACGTTCAACAGTGCGAAGGGGAATACTTGTTACTTGTTGTATTTCCTTTGCTGAACGAGTACCATTGAGCCAGTAATGGAGAATTGCCTGTCGTTGAGCCTCAAGTACTGTATTAACCATGTTTGTAAAGGTGGTAGGAAGAGAAAACGGAGGTAAAAAAAAAATCTTCTTCTGAAATATGTTTATTGATATTGTAATTGATTGTAGATCGGATGTAATTAATGATCAACAATCTGTTTTCTTATTTATTTGCAAAAAAATATTAATTTATTTACCGCCGTTTTTTTCTTAACACACTGTACATAGTGTGACTTACTCATTGAAGAAAAAGAAGAAGGCGGGAAAAATCCACTTTTAGCACCATTAACTTTACATATCTGCCGATACTTTTTATTAAATAATTACATTATCATGGAATATTATAAATTCTGACAATCTCGTCCAATTGATCGGAGGAGCTTATCCAAGTATTTGTCATCTTTGAATTTTGAATTATCACCTCCAAAATTTACGACCGTTTCCATTTATTTTTATAAAATCTGACAAGTGTGATAGGAATGTTTGGTTATAAATTTGCAATTCTATAATTTCATTTTCACATGCAACAATACACCGCGTTTTTTTTGAAATTTGGTTTTTTGGCAGTTTGGCGCAGTTTTAAGGTTAATATTTTGGCAGTTTCTCATATTACTTCAAGAATAGGAAAAGAAAAAATAATAGGAAAATTATTGAATCCAGATGTGAATTCTTTAATATTGGTGGGAGAATGACATAAATAATAGCTACCATATAAATTTTAATTGATTCTCAAGATAGAACTTCAAAGGTATCAACAGTTTCTCCTGGTAATTGTCTTCTCTTTTCTAATGCTGCTGCCCATCCTTCTTCCATAGCCCTTGTCCTGTATTTCCTTTGGAAGTTCGGAACAAAACTTGCTGCCATTGTGTTAACATCTTGATTATCATACCATCTATTTATATCCCCTTTTACTTGACTCCACCATGTTGCTGCCCCTGCTTTTAGTCTTGGTACTGCCACTGGTATCTTTCTATCATTTGCCACTCTATTAGTAATAAAAGCTTGCTCCATCTCTTCTAGCCATGTTATTGGATCTTGATCCCCTCCATAATATT